CTTAAAAAAAAATAAGAGCACTTCGATTGATCGGGAACCAGCATTAACACCGAAAATAACGTCTGGCTCGAAATCCTACGCAGAATCAGTCCGCTGGCTCCAGCTCGGAAGAAGTTGTAAACACCAGGCGGAGAGGGGCTTGCCTTTACATCGCATTACCATTTTGCGTTAGATGGAGCAGAAAAATAACGGCTGGGGTGCTTTATTGGTTAAGTCAGAATGGCTTAGGCAGCTCCAGCGCCAAACAAGAATATTAAAGTTTCAGTCTATGTAGTGTGCGTCTAAACCTACACCGTTAAAATAACAAAAAAAAAAATTGCTTTTTTTTTATATTTTAATTTGTTTATTAATTTTGTGTATTTTACGTGGTTCGTACATAAATCGTTCTATTTCGCCTTCACGATCACAATTTAGAAATCTCTTCCAAATAGATTCAAGGCATTAGTTGCGTTGCAGATGCTTCACGATTTGCAGGTTTTTACAGGAAGCCGTTCCAGGTGACCACCTTCCATTAGGTTTATTAATGGAGAAAACAGCTGTTCCTGCAAATCCTGTAAAACCTACAAATCGTGAAACATCTGGAACGCTACTATTCCTAGACGCGCTTTTACCGCATAAGCATTAAAATACTGTAAAGTAGAAACAAGAAAAAGCTAAATACAGCAATATAGGAAAAAAATATATGCAATTTGTAGCATAAGCGTATGCTAAGTGCGAACAAAAGTATTTACGAACAAGGAATGCTGTAGCGCAGTGCAGTGAATTAATATAAAAAGCGCTCAGCATTTTGCACAAAACGTATTTCCCTTTTACAACTTCCTAACGATTACACACTACGATTTTACATATTTTAGACGCCCATACAAATTTACGTTGGTATTTGAGTGCTTATACATACATATGCATGTGTTACAGAGTTAATAATATATTTTCGCATAAAAGTATAAATTTATATTAAGATTACATAAATGATATACATACGTATGTATATAATACAATATTTGTAAATAAATATCTACCGCCAAAAAGTAATTTACATATACATAAGTATATCAGAAAGTACATTTCACAATTTATTTGCCTTTTTATCTTTTGGTCATCATATCGAAATTTGCACTTTACAGATTTACTACATATGTATATCGACCCCTTTGCGGAAAATTATCATATGTTACATTTTTTTATGAAATTCACTTTTTGATGCAACTTTGTTTTACAACCCATAACGCATCACCTGTTCAAATATTACGGCTTGAATCCCAACAGCTACCCCAAAAATTGACTGTAAGTTTTATATGTATTTATTTCTTGTGTGCGAAATTATCATATGGGCTAAGAAACTAGAATGTAGAGAAAAAATACAAAAAACATTTTCAGGTAAAATTTGGTTTTTGTAACATACGATAATTTTGCGCAAAAGGGTCGATATGCAAAATAAGAATCCCAACCCATTTCTAAACCGGAGAACATATATTATTCATATTTTGCACAGATGGCGAACTAACAATGGGCATGTATTTTTATCACTTACATTTCTGTTTTAATAAGCCATCATAAAATTTTATTGTTTTAGAACTTTTTAAAAAGTGCTTGCTTTCAAATATCACCTCAACAATTGAATATACCACCTCAGTATTGCGATTGAACTTCGCAGACTACATAAAACTGTACAACTTAGCAGCAACATATGGATGAATGCGAAGAAAAAACATTGCCATCAAAAAAATACTTTCTAATGCACGCAATAATTATTGTTTGAATTCGAATACAAGAATCATTATGATAATGAATAATACCACTGAAAGGATGCCAACCAAAATAAGCTTCTTCCTACGCACTTGATTCTAAAACGAGAAACAGAGTCGAATCATTTATGAACGAGATTAATAAAGAGAATATTTCTACTTAAGCGCAAATAATCCACTCACTTTATATGAACTGGCTTTACGCAGATTATCAGCACCCTGTGACACAAACACACTTGTCTGCTCCACGGACGATTCAATCGAATCAACAGTTAGACCTTGTTCGTACACCATGGCGCCGAGCTTCTTGTAGATTTCATTCACACCAACTATATTTTCCTGTAGCATAATAAATGTTTGTTAGGATTTAATTTTTCGTTGAATAAACTCTTTTTTTTTGATTTACCTCCAGTTCACGTATTTGACGTTCCTGTTCTTCAAGCGCTTGTAAATCGATTTCTTCTTGCATTTGTGTTTGTTGTTGTGATTGATTTGATCTGCGACTGAAAAAGTTATCCTCGAAGAAGGAGCCACTATTGTTGCTGCCACTGGTACCACCACTGCCACTGCTGTTGTTCGTGCCCGGTGGTTTGCTAATGTTGTAACTGTGCGCACGCGCTTGTCGAACAGCATTTTTCTCGATATCGACTGTTTTGCGTTGAACGGCCTTAGAAAGTTGAAATTGAAATTACATGATTATAAAATTTAAACAAAAAAAATTAATTTTTTAATAGTGATTTTAAAAGTAAAGCTTAAAGGCGAGACCTCGGACGAGGTTTAATATTTCATGTAATTAAAGGGTGCATTCCAAAACGTCAAAATGCAAAGAATCAGTAGATTGTTATGTTAAATGTGCGCAACCACGATTAGATGTTAGTTGTTTACTTCTTGTGCCGTTTAGAAATAAAAAAGACTGATGCTTTTTATATTTTGACGTTTTGGAATACACCTAAAAAATCATCATACCTGGACCTTAGCCACCAAATGACTGGTTTTATATTTTGAGGTGGCTAAGGATCACTTGATTGCATTATACTAATAAGAAAATAGTTGCTTACAACGATTCACTGGGTTTTGCAACAAAAAAAAATCTGTTAAAATGCACAATGCCAAAGTCCGGTACATTTTGTAATATCTCAAAGTAATGAATTAATTTATTAGTCAAAGTATTAGAACGCAAACAACAAAAGACACAATAAAGATACCATAGGATCACTCTAAAACAGATAGCGAATGAGTAATGGCTACAAAAAAAAAAAATGATAAGAAATCATATAATGAAATGAAAATGAAAACATGTAATTTTTAAGCGAAAAACAAAACCGACTTCAATGCTCATATAAAAATTTAGGACTATCGTCAATTTCTTCATAATCCAATGATCGCATTTAAACTAAATTAGTATGGGACCACCTGTGAGGTAAAACATTTCCTTTAAAAAAAAATTTAATATAGAAATCAGTTAACGTGGTCCAAAGTTATGCGGAACATACATATGTACATAAAAATAAAATATTCCGACAAATTGATAACCTTCTCCTTTTTGTTAAGTCGGTTAATAAAAGCAATCGAAGCAGATTTTATTTTTCATGCATACTTATTTATCGTTACCCTAATATAGAAAGTCCCCATTTTACATTTCTGTTTCTTACAGCATAACAAAGTTTAATGTTTTTTGTAGCGAATTCAATTTTTTAATGAAGAATATAACTTATTTTATGCTGCATTAATTGTTTTTAAATTATGTTATGTTTAGTGGGTAGTCTAACGATTTTTTCTTATTTTTCAAAGATAAATTTTGATATGTTGATCAAAAGAAAGGTCCTACTTTGTACTTTTGAGGAAAACCTACTAAATATTTATAATCATATTTTGAGTGGAATGCTTACCTGAAATGCGGTTAAAGCAGCGGTGAACTCATCTACCAGCCGATCGCGTTGTATTTTCAAATGACGTTCCTTGCACTTATCCACCTCTTTCAATTGATTATTTGTGTCCGAAACCAATTGATGCGTATAGGTCATTATTTGATGTCTGAAAAGAAAATACATATACATATTGTGGGCATACAATGTCAACTAATCGTCTTACAGCTGTTTCTTCAAATCAGGCGAATCCTGTGGCGTATTGAACTGGTTAACCATGCGTTGCATAGTGGACACTGCAAATGGCAATTTTTTTTATAGGTATGACGCATTTTTATTAAACAATGAAGCTTACCATTTTGTAAAATTTTTTGTATGCTTGTCGCGATGGTTTGCGCTAGACGTTGGAAATCATTTTCACTGAAGCCGCCCGTGGGCCCTACTCCAGCACCATGGCCACCGCCACTGATGCCATTCTCCATATGCTGCAGATCCATGCTCTCGTAGGTAGACACTGTGGTTGATTATTGGTTGATCACCAACAAACTGAAATATATAGGTACCTATGCAGATTTTGGCTAAAAGAAGGGAGTGGTAGAGCAAAGTTTGCCCTCGTCCTCGAAGACTACACTCACTGCTCGTTGATGTCGACTGCTACAGCTATTTAAATAATGTATTAACTAAGAACGCACTTTATTCGGCCTATTTACACACCTTTCTTTGTTTCAAAATTCGATTATGGGCTGAGTTCTCCCCTATTACCAGTTACGTCGCTAATTTTCAATGTATATTTGCTTGTTTGGTGTCACACAACTGCTGGCACTGCGCTAATGCTTTTTGGCCTTTTCTTTTTCCTACCAACTTTCCCTCAATCGACGTCAAAAACGATTCAACTTATTGATTAGCACAAACAGTTTTGCTGTACGGGCTTCTTGGTGATTTTGCTTTTTGTATTTTTACATTTATTACGATTTCCAACAGCTTTTAATGCACTTTTTCAATTTTCCCCAGATGACAAATCTTTTTTACTTTTTTTGCAAAAAAATTGGTCAACTGCGTACTGTCAATTTTAGCCAGAGATGCCATTTTCCCTTAAGACGTTTTATTTCGACATGTTTTTTTTGAAGAAAAGAAGGTTTGATTAATTTGGTTATTTGCCTGATACGATACTTATATCTGTATGTAAGTTTATGTATATTTTTGCTGCAAATATATGTAGGAAAGATTGTGAAAGCACCTCAGAATCAAATAGCTACAGATTTATTGCCAAAACACACGGAATCAAAAGGCATTAACGTCATTAATCCCACTATTTAAAAACTGGTTTTCTTGGGTATTAATTTGCTTTTTAGAAATGGCAATGCTCTCCCTCGCGAATTTATCTCTCTCTTTGTTTTCAACTGTCAAAGTGACGCACGAAATGCCACAGATTTTTTTCTTTTCTCGATAAAAGAAAATTGAGTGCGTTGAACAAGAAAGGTGTGGTTGAAAAACGTAAATTTTACTATTAGATTAATGCGTTAGCTTGTAAAACTTGTTAAAAATCGTTCGAAAAGTGTTAATATTATATATTAGAGCATCAGCATAATGGCAGGACGTCTACCGGCTTGTGTGATCGATGTTGGCACAGGGTGAGTGAGCGAAGATTCGCTGTAGAAAAGGAGGTCGCTGGTTCATTGATCACTGTGTGTACGGGTTGGTGTACAAGCGGCCCCCACCATAGCAGAGTAACCAGCTAAACTATGCACCAAGAATGCACCTTATTAGAAAGAAAATATTTTTGAGTTATTTGCCAATTTACAGCTATACAAAATTGGGCTATGCGGGCAACAAGGAACCACAATTCATCATTCCCTCAGCAATTGCCATTAAGGAGACGGCACGAGTGGGTGACACCAATACGCGACGTATTACAAAAGGTGTCGAAGATTTGGATTTCTTTATTGGCGATGAAGCATTCGATGCTACTGGCTATTCGGTGAAGGCAAGTATAAAGCTAATAGAGTAAATTGATTTAGTAATGCAGTGACTAATGATGACTAATAGATGATAACATAAAAGAATTTAATGGAGAAAAACGTAAATTTAAAAAATTTTAATATATTTTAGTACCCGGTACGTCATGGATTGGTGGAAGACTGGGACTTGATGGAACGTTTTCTTGAGCAGTGTATTTTTAAGTATCTGCGCGCCGAACCCGAAGACCATCACTTCCTTCTAACTGAACCGCCACTGAATACGCCAGAAAATCGCGAATATACCGCTGAGATTATGTTTGAAACATTTAATGTTCCTGGTCTCTACATAGCTGTGCAGGTTCGTGAATTGCATATTCAATGTTGGCGCGCGTATATGAATAGTTTTTCTTTATTTTAGGCTGTGCTTGCCTTGGCCGCCAGTTGGGCTGCCAGACCGGTGGAAGGCCGCACACTAACAGGCATTGTTGTAGATAGCGGCGATGGTGTAACACACGTTATACCCGTGGTATGTATTTGAAAATAGTTGAATAATGCTGCTGAAATATACTATTTGTTGTGGCTTATCTTATCTGGAAAAATACATATTGATTAAGCCATCAACCCAGTTTGGTGTTTATATGGATTTTGTTTGCATAGAAAAGCGTTGCAAACAATTACATATATATGTATATATATATTTTTTTTTGATTTGGATGTTTTTACACAGTTGCATAATTTTAAAACCGCCATATATTAACAAGTTTTGACTATTTATTTTCATATTATTTAATTTCAGTTATTTTCTTATAAAAACTTAGTTCATTCTTTAACAAACACCATACTAATCCATATTCCAAACTTTGTACAAAAATTATAAAAATTCACCGAATTTTCAGCGTTGTTGACGATATCACTCATTTTCTTCAAATATGTATGTTCGAAAATCTTTTTATATGGAAGAAAATGAAAAACACCATCAACAAAAAAATTGCCAAAAATTAACGGTATTTTGTAGCCACATGAAACTCACACTTCATTATAATAAAATTGCATGTGCTATAAAACTGCATACGCAAAACTTCCAAAAATTAAAAAAAAAAAAGTGTAAAATTTTGGTGAAAATTCGCTGAATTTGTACAACTTTGGTGTTTGTTATAGAATTAACTATATTTTTATTTGAAAATAATTGAAATTAAAAAATATGAAAATAAATAGTCAAAACTTGGTAATAAGTGGCGGTCCTAAAATTATGCAACTGAGTGTACGTATATTTTTATTAATAAATAACTGTTGGTTATATATTTATTAGGCCGAAGGCTACGTAATTGGATCTTGCATCAAACATATACCCATTGCCGGCCGCAATATAACCTCATTCATACAAAGTTTATTGCGTGAACGTGAAGTTGGCATACCGCCAGAGCAAAGTTTAGAAACTGCCAAAGCAATCAAAGAGAAGCACTGCTATATTTGTCCAGACATCGCCAAAGAATTTGCCAAATATGACACGGAGCCGGGCAAATGGATACGCAACTATACAGGTACTAATGCGGTGACCAAGCAACCATTCAGTGTTGATGTAGGCTACGAACGCTTCTTAGGTAAGTTGTCATTTAACGTTTCTTGGGTAAAAGAGATTTGTATGCATACGTATTTATGTTTTTAGGACCTGAGATTTTCTTCCATCCTGAATTTTCAAACCCCGATTTCACCATTCCACTATCGGAAATCGTAGACAACGTAATACAGAATTGTCCGATTGATGTACGACGACCTCTTTACAATAATATAGTTTTGAGTGGCGGTTCGACTATGTTTAAAGATTTCGGTCGTCGTTTGCAACGTGACATCAAACGATCAGTTGATACTCGTCTACGGATCAGCGAAAACTTATCAGAAGGCCGCATTAAGGTATGTGTTGGTTTGAAGAATTGTATAAAATTATTATGTTAATATTATATTTTACCGCTGTAGCCAAAACCAATTGATGTACAAGTCATTACACATCATATGCAGCGATATGCCGTGTGGTTTGGAGGCAGCATGTTGGCATCCACGGTATTTTCATTAATTGCTAATTTATCGTTAGATTACTTTTGACCAAATTACATTTTTTTTTCTTTCTCCCAGCCTGAGTTTTATCAAGTGTGCCACACAAAGGCCGCCTATGAGGAATATGGACCGGGAATTTGTCGCCACAATCCTGTTTTTGGCACCATGACATAATCATATACCACCACACTGTGCACACAGAATTGTTTTTCACCTCTACCTATCACTCAATTTCAATTCCTTTTAAATTTTGTTGTATGCAATAGTAGAAATAGTTCAAGTCATGTGCGGAAACAGATATCAAACAAAAACAGATACAAGATGGCGTAACGCACACATAACTTTTGTTGAAAGACGCTTGTTTTCTTAATATGTATAACAAAATTTACCTATGTTAAGCTGCTAAGTTATAATGTCAGTCGTTTTATGTTATATTTAAAGTCAATAACTAATGATAAATTTGCATTTTTTTTTTTTGGTATTATAATTAAAGAGTCTTATTATGCTTATTATAGCGGCAAAGAAGTAATTATTTTAATGTTGTCAACGCTTTTATTGCAGGGTTGGCATTTTTATACACACATATACCATACAACCATATGTAGGCATTTACGATGCAAAGCTTGTTGTAAGTGATGCAGTAGTGAGTGATAGCAAATTTTCACTGAGGTATAACATAATATAAGTATGTATTCTAATTGTTTTTTGTAACATTATCAACCGATTGCATTACTTATGCAAACTCTATTTACGCGCTTCTAATATACTATATCTCTATTATTAATGTAAATTTCTTTTTTATGTTCAGTAATTAAAGTGAGACAGTATAGCAAAAAAGTATATACCTAACTATTTAACATTTTGGCCAATTACAATTAAATTGAAACGATGAATAAAACGTGCGATTGCACAGAAAAATTATTGTGCGGAGAATGTGATTCTTTATGAGAATTCAATAAAATCAATGTGAATATAATTAAAAAACAAAACGTTTGTTTCATCAATTTTTATAAAGAAATAATTGTGGAGAAAAGGCTTTGAAGGGCAATCCGAGAAGGAGCTGCCTTTAAACAGAGACTCTCAACGACACGCATACATATACAAACACTGTTGCACTCTAACTGCTTTGCTAAACAAGGGCTCAAGAAATCTATCAGTGTCTAGTATTGGCTCAAATTTTTCATACACTTAGCTCTAACCTAACCTTTCTTAAACTTCGAACGTAATCTTAAGCAAATACACTACATGAAAGCCAAGTAATTTTGCAACAATTTAACATCTATTTGTCTGCCTCTGTTAAGTGAAATTTGAGAAACGAGTTGTTAATAGAATAAAGTTTAATAAAACATGCATATAATAAAAGCAGAGTCCAATAAATTGTTACCTTATTAATATACATCCCTGTAAAAAAACAACTGCTCAGATGCCCTAGGTCTATGCAAAATAGTAAGCAAACGCTTAATTTTGTTTTGGCTGGCAAAGTTTGGTCGATTCGGCAGTCAAACTTCCGAGCTCACAAACCGAACGAAACTGAAGGAAACACTTTATTAAGGATTTGAAAAATAATTTCTAAATAAAACATGCTTTTGTTTGGGTACCAGTATTTATTTGATAGAAATTTTATATACTTTCAAGTTTTCGCGTTTATGTATATCATAAATCTCCTTAATTTTTATCGCAAGATGAAATTTACCTCAAATATAGTTATTATGTGTATGTAAATATTTTTTGAAAGCGTAACAGTGTAATAAATTGGTGGTGAAGACGTTGAGATAAAAGAACGCATATTTTTTGCGAGTTTATAGTTTTGATGATATATTTTTTAACAATAATTCATTTATTTTTCTATTTATGTAAATACATTTTGAAAAGACAATAATTTATGCAAGTATGCATGTATATAAAGGTCTGTGTGCCTTGGTATATACTTATTTGTGTGTTTACTTATCAAGCAAAAGATCAACCACATCCAGTTTTTAACTTCTTTTTCGTTCCTTTTACTATTAAAATTTTATATCCTCTAGATTCATAATGTAAATATGCATGTATTTATAAAAAGCAGATTTCGCATATTTTTTTTTTAACAAATTTGGAATTAGATTTCTATGTTTATGTATATGTATGTAAAGCAAGTTCCGAATGGATATTTTATTTCGACGGTCGTTTGTTCTGTGTTCTAAAGAATTGTTCTTCGCTTGAAAAGATGATTAATAGAATTTGAGAAATATTTTTGGTCGAAATCAAAAATCGAATAGGACTCTTTGACACAAAGGAATTGATTTAAAGAAGAAACTGTTCAGCGCGTTGATTCAATTAAGGTAATCACTAGTGTCTTCTTCTGAGCTGCCATTGTCCTCGCCATCAGCAGTCTGCATGGGTTCCACAATACGAAAATTCTGAAGAAAATCACGCATGGCATCCACAATGTTTGTCAGCGATTGTGTGAGTTCACGATACGAGGCACCGCCTTCGGTGTCACCAGCAGCATCTAAAAATCAATTCATTTACTAAAATTTTTGATAAAAAGAAAAAAATAGACGCTCGCACGCCCGTACCATCAGCTGCAGCGTTTTCTAAATTTGCATTTAAAGCTTGAAGATGACGATCCACTTGCGCTACTTCATCATCGTCGTGAGCCGCATTGACTGGTGGTGCAGGCAGAGCGTTTGCTCGTGCTACCCCAGCTTCGACAGCAGCATTTGGTTGCTGTTCACCACCGCGATTATTTAAGTTAAATGACGGCATTAGTGATTCAAAGAACATAAAAACCGATCGATTTGGTCCTGTTGTTGGGCTACTGGAGGAGGATTTTCTACATTTAAATATAAATAAATTAAGCGGGATTAAATTTGTCAAACATATTTTAAATATTTTCGTTTTGTATATACCGCTCATAGCAATTGACTGAGTCCACTGGTGGCAATGGATCGTACATCATTAATGGATCCTTCTCCTTGGCAAGGAACGGCGCTAGAGGCACTTTCTCCTTGTAATCAGAAAGTATCACATGACGCAATATGGGACGTGGTGGCGATACATAACGCACAGCACGTTTCTGATTATAATCGGTAATGACTTCATCCTTTTGATCTACTAGATCCAAAACCAAATTGACATTGCGTTCCAACCAAGGCAGCATGTTATTTTGTCGCCAAACAACTTTAGCACGGCAAATGTACAACGACACCAGTTGATGTAGCGAGGGAGATTGACTGTAATTGCGAAGATAAATAATATGATTTAGGGCGTATTCAAAATACAGCATTGTTTCTTTAGCATAAACTTACCTGCCAGATATAGAGTTGTTAAAATACGACGAAGCTTGTACACGCTTGTCAGTCTGAACAGATAGCTCATCCAGCAGAGGGCGCAATACACCGGGAAACATTAAGAGTGCATACTGCAAAGCCTTATCCGACTTTTCACATTCTACAATTTGGATATTTAATAGAAGAATAACCTTTCCTTAGCATTAAAGTAACACTCACCTCCCATTTGGCAAAACAATGCCAAGGCATAAGAGTACGCCATATTTGGCAATTGGGATAGATTACGCACGGCATCATATTCTTCATAAAATTTAATAAGCCATGCATACTGTTTGCTGCGCAACGCATAATAATCAATGATCAGCACAATGGCCAAGGGATCTACTTCCGGATTTAAGCTCAGTATCAATTTGGAAAGCTCGAATGCAGTGCGACAACAAGCGCGTGCTTCCAAGTACTGAGCATGCTTAAATAGCGTAATAAAGAATGACCTATTTTCTTGACGGCGGTAATCCAGACGACAGTTACCCGACGTCAAGCTAAAGCTCGGATGCAATGATGACTCTAGCACAAGTACGGCGCGCTCAATAAGTTCGGCTGCTAAGCTGTAATTCTCCGTGATTTTGCCTGTTAACCAGAAAAAATTAAAATCACAAATAGCAAATAATATGTATAAGTGCCCAATGAACTTACACAATTCGCTTAGCTGTATTAGAGAATCGACGTGATAGGGACATCGTCTTATCAAACTGATAAAGAAATCGGAATCAGTACGTTCAACTGCTTGTAAAAACAAATTCTGCACGCTCTGATAGTATTGGCTGTGCTCGAAAGCAAACCATTGAATTTTTCCCGACTGACGGAAATTGTTGGTACTGCTGCTGCTACCTGCCAATTGCTCTGGCAGCTGCACTGGCTTCATTGTTATGATGTTCTTGGTTATCGGCGGCCATGATTCCTTGGCAGTTACCATGTATGTGGTTTTAAGTGTCAACTTTTGACGACCCCGTTTATTCCTTTGATCAAGAAAGAAACAAAACCATCAAATTTCGAATGCGAATCGTTGATGCTGAATACTCACTCAATTTTAACGACTCTTTTGCCAAACGTACGGCGCAATTCATTTTGTGGATTCAAGTGTTTCAATTCGACTGTCAGTAATGATTTATCGATCTCTATGCGCGGCGGATTGAGCTTTTGATTTTGATTTGTGGCGTTATGTACCTTCCCGATAAGGGAATCGATATCGCTTAGATATTTGTCAGTGAGCTGGTAAAATTTAAAGAAAATTTATTCGGTTGCGAAATTCTTTTTTATGCAAAATTCTTTTCAGAACTTTATAGGTATATTCAACATACATATAGCCTGCAACAACAAAAGTACATATGTACCTTACTACCAACATTTGAGCACACTCACTGAATTATTTGACCCAGTCCAAACCCGCTTTGCACACGTTGCACAACAAAACAGTTTACTTTCCCGGCCAACCAATACTCCACCCACACTATTAATGGCTTTCACTCATTCAAAAATTCCACTCACCTCATTATCCTCGCTGCTGATGTGGTTGCCGGTATACTTTGTTTTCTTCTTGCGCTTCTTTTTCTTCTTTTGTTTGGCTGCACCTTTTCCACCAGTTCCACTTGGCAGATTTGCCGCCGTTGATGCATGCTCGGTTTCGTTGTCATCCTCCTTCACTTCGCTCTCGGAGAGACTTTGCTGATTCAACTGGTGCGACGAAGGTGGCAATTTTTTTTTTGTTGTATTCGAAAGTTTGTGTAAATGATATGCAAGGAAGCGAAAGATATAGGATGACAAAAAAGTTTATTTCATTCGATTCATGATTTGATTCGATGAAACTAACGCGATACCACTTAGGTCAAATGAATTTGTGAATATGTATGTATGTATAAATGCATGTATGCATGTAGTAACCCCTATTAAAAGTCACCCTCTCCCTATTTGTGGCAACGTTTTCCGTTGCTTTTGACTAGCATTAGTGGCTATTGGAAATTGATGTCAATTGTCTGTATGCATGCTTGGCCATTATTCCCCATTAGGAGAGTTGGAAAATGAAATCTCTTTCTTGCATAAATAATGATCAAGGCCTTATTAAATAACTGTTTGTGAATCTACTCACCAGGTCAAAAGGATTTAAATGTTTTCCGCGAGCTGTATCCAATTCATCATCATCGTCGCTTAGTTGGTCATCATCGATGTCATCTTTAGCGTCAATTATTGAATTCTTTTCGGTGCCACCTTGCAGTTTCTTTAGAGCACGAGAAGACATCTTCGAGAACTTGAACTGCTTCAATAACTGCTATTCACACCACGATGACGTCTTCACATTTGACTTGGCCTATTTTGTTTAGCCTCAGTTGTTTGCATACGTATTTATCAAAATTATTAAAAGTTTAATTAGTTCACTTACTTTGGACGCAACTCGTCGCTTGTATGCTAGCAAACAATGGATACCAAATTTTAGTGTTTTGATTTCGGGAGCTTAGATAAAAATCAATATTCTCCAATAAATCGTTTCCTGACAAAAAACAAAAAAAGAATGGAAAATTACGTGAAAGAAATGTCAAAAACAGCGCGAATGAAGGGGCAAAAAAAAACGTCAAACTTGCTGGAAATTTTTCTGGGATGAACTACCGGAAATCATTGGAATGCACTACCGGAAGTACAAAAACGTCAAACTTGCTGGAAATTTTT